GGTAGAATAAAATCACTGATCTCTCTCTCCTTTGTGCCAGTCAACTAGAAGACAAGACTGCACGTGATAGCGACTCGTGGGACCATCTCATTATTGTATCTGACCTGTCAATATTATCCTGCCACGTGCTTTTCTCTAGTACTTTTTTTTATTTACTAAAGTTATTTATTTTCTTAATGAATTATTTGATAGACCCTAAATTACATCATTTTTATTATCGAGTATAGTTTTTACGTTCTAAGCATGCTTACGGCATACGTTTTGACTTTCACTTTTTTTTTTGCTTTCATTTTATGTAACTTAAGGTAAAACTTTTAATTTGTTTAAAAAGAATGTTTCGTCGATCACGGACTACATATATCAACGATGAATTATGAAATTCGACCATCGTCAATATAAAATATATATATATAAAAGTTAAAAATCTAATTACAAATAATTCTGCTTTTGAAATTTTGGCCATGTGAAATTGTGAAACTCGTTATATATTTTGAGATTATAAAATACAACTATTTATGTTAAAAGTGTATTATTTATTTATTTAAATAAATGTAACATTTTTACTTTGAATATAAATTAAATATTCATTTAATCTTGTAATCCATAATGTGAGCTTATGGCTTCATATTAAATATATGTGTGTGCCCGCGTCTATACCTTCTATCATTCTTCCTGAATCATTTAAATTCGTAACGATGCGGTAATATCTTGGACATATTTTTGGCTTATTGTGAAACTATTTGACATGATAACGATAAGTGCTGAGCCTGCTTTAATGCCACTTGTAACAAGGTGAGCGTTTATTATCTGACTGAAACAAAAAAAAAAAAAAATTAAGCTATTAACTAAAGGATATTAATTTCGGCCTTATTAGTTCAAACGCAACATTCAGATCCGACATGAAACGAAAACCTTCAACAATGATTCAGTTTTTTTAATAATAAAGCTTTGTGGGTGACAAATGACAATCAACATGGCCATTGTTAGGCATCTAATGAAAGAAAATATTTGAACATGAACAGTGCAACCAAGCTCAATTGATTAGAGGCTAACGTGCGAACATTGTCCATTTTACTAACGTGCAAGTTGATGTTGAGTGATAATTTAATCAAGTTGATCATGATCCAAGTTCGACCATATCTATAAACCACCTTGGATATATATACCATGAATATAAACCACCTTTGATATAGATATATAGAGACATATGCTGTCGGCTATTGACTGGGTGCTGTGTCTTGTGTTAGGCCAATCAAGTGATATATATATATATCTATGCAAATGACAAGAATTAATGGGCCAATTTTATTTTGCCACGTCATTGAAGATTCCATTATAAGGAAGAAAACATGATGTTAATTTGTGGTTCAATCCCACTTTAAAGAGAGGATTTTGATTTATGAGGAACACTGAATGGGTCATATGATTCGTGCAGCGCCAGCGATTTCAGAGCGTCAGAGTTTTAGGTTATTCCGGTGGGCGGTGAAGCACGTAGATTTGCGCAACCCATGTCTCCCGCCTGCGGTTTTTATTCAGCAAAATATAAAAATATATACATATACGTACACTGGTACCAATCATCTATATGTGTGAATAATCAAAATCGTCCCGAGAATTCGGATTTCATACATTATGAGTTGCATACAATTATATTTATGTATGAATGATGAGGACCATCCACGATAGCGTAATATGTACATATATATATATATATATGCTCAACGCGCGCTCATAAAGCTACGATATATACATCATTTTTCTTATAAATAAACATATATATATATATATATATATATATATGTATATTAATATATACACTGTGAATGGATAGAGATTAGAGATCCGCACGCACTGGGCCAACCAACTGATGTCCAACATTGTAGGGTTCATGCATTGAGTCTTCTGAAAGCAATGGACAGTGTGTTTCCAAGGGTTCGACCAAATCCCAAAATAGGTCTGTTGGTAGGGGGTGTCCTTGGAGTCTCTTACAAGTTAGGAGCGAGTTATATTGATGTTAGGATTTTAAGTGGCTAAACAAAATGGTAATGTTAGCTGGTACTCATAAAATTAACTTTTTGTATTTGTGAATTAATTTTTATTTTTATTTTTATTTGGGTTGGTCGGTAGGCTTAAGCTTACGCCAGTCATAATAGACACAATTTACTAAAATAATTGTCGTGCTTAGCTTATGAAAATAAAAGGAACTCTAAAAATCCCAATTGTTTATTTTGATTGCTTGATGATAAGAATATGACACTATTTTCATAATGAAAAATTATGTTACATGTTATAATGGTGTCAACAAATGGCAGCTGCTGCTAAATAACATGTACAAGTTCTGATGTTACATATTTGAATCTTCTAATTAAATAAGCACCTTATAGAATTTAACTGCATTGCAAAATAATTAGATCTTTTCCCAAATATCTTCTTGTGACTGCTAAGTAATTGATGCAGAAATTCAATTACTCTGGTTCTATTATAGGACTGGCACATTTTAATACATTTCATGTTATGGTACTAATTATTAGATGTTGTATGCCAATTTGACCGCCAAATTCTATCGCAACATAAACCATACACGGACATATATCTTTTAATTAAACATTTTAAATAATTTAATTTGAAATTTAAAACCACGGATTTATTGGAAAAAAAAAAATTAAAAAATGATAATTTTGCACTGTTACCATTTACAAATTTTCAATCGATTTTGAACTACATCCAATGCGTCTCATAATTTATGAGAGAAAAATATTCTCTCAATTCCTATTAAATCATCTCATAATTTATCAAATTAAAACATAGGTAATAATTCTCAAACGTGGCATTGAACCCACCCACATGTGACTGTTGTGGTAGGTCTCACCCTCACATTCATGAAACTGCTCACCCATGTTGGTGACAAATGAATCCCTTACACTTTTTATAGACATCATCGTCCCCAATAGGTGGGAATGCTTTGCAATCAAGTGTTAGTTCCTAATATCTTAAATATATCTAGATAGTTACAAACTCATATAATTCTTTATTTCTTTAGAACATTTTCTATTCTATGCACTATTACAACCTTCTAAAATTCTCCAATACTCTTATAAGCTTCTATGCAACTCTGCTCTATACGTGTGAGGGAGATGCCATCAAAAGTCCTTTTGAGCGTTACCTGCGCGGTGCAACCTTCTTTGTCAGCACGCAGGTGCAACCTCCTTTGTCAGTACGTGACACACAGCTCCCTTTGCTTTCTGCAAAGACGATCATTTTTTCTTTATTGATTTGTGTGATTCTGTTTCATTGAGCCATAATTTGTGCTGCTTTATCAATTATGAAGCTTTGCTTAATTGCTTGCGAGTCCCTTCTGCTGCAATTTATGATATTCAAATATTAAGCAAGGCAATTAGTCTCTGTCCAAAATCATAGCAAAAGACAATTGCTTGCCAATTTATGATATCCTACAATAATGTCATGGTGGTATAACCGTATAAGAGCATCAAAATTTTAAGATATTCAAATATAATTCACTCAGTCTTGAAAAAAGTAACAAAAGAGAGAAAAAAAATGATTGATAGACATAAATTTAGGTTTGGCATTTTTGGGGTTTTGGGTGACAGAAAAAAAATAAAGTTCAAATTAATGCAGTACGGGTGTGTGAATGGGGTGCGCCAATGGAGTAGATATTTGATGCGCATCGTGTATTGAGTTAATCTAAATCGTACGTGCATATTACGAACAGCTCGTGCATATTACGAACAGCTCAGATTAGTTCAGTGTACGTTACACTGAAGCTACGTATATTATTTCCACGTGGCAAGTTACTACTGGTGGACAATAAATCACAGCCATCCATTCCATCATTGTTCAAACATGGAAGTTAAAGGACTCCGATTAGAGAGAGAATTAGAGAGAGGAAAAAACTTTCAAAAAGAAGTCCCAGAGAGATTGATTTGCTACATGTCTGAAAGTCACTGTAACTATACCTCAAATAAGTAAATCACATTGATATTCTATGTGTTTTAAAGTATACATGTATATGTATCGACTGTATAACTGTTAATTCAGCTGTGTGAACTGCCTATTCAGTTTAGTTCTTTTTCTAGGGTTTAAGTTTGTAGATTGATTTCAATTCTGGTATGATGATTCTTACAAATTGTTTTGAGTTCATGTGTTTCAAACATTCGATTTACAAGCTATATATCTGAAACATTCGGACAATGTAGTCATTAAATCTACTATTGTGGTAGCTAACATATGATAGTCCAATTAATTGCAGGAATCTGAAATAGATACCTGCTCATCAAACATGGAGACGATTTTCTCACCATTACGGGACCCGATTGATATCTAACTTCAAACAGGTTGGATAAGGTATCGAGTATCGTCTAGAGCAGGGTAGTTTTCGGGGAATTTTGAAGAAAAGATTCTCTCATTTAGCTGCAAATGCACAGTATGAGATAATAGCTGCATTGCACATAGTATGTGCTTGCACCGTACTAATAACAAATGAAACACAATTCTGAAGTTAAAAGAATCAGTTACCATGAAGGTGCTTGCTGGCTTAACTAGTAAAATCTGTGTGTGCATAGAGGAAATGCTGTCAACTTTGTCATATCATTGTTCCTTATGAACTTGTTGAGAAGGCACATAACTAGGTAAAAAAAAAAAAAAAAAAACCAAATATAGGTTTCTTTGTACATTGTTCAAGTAAATATTTACATATTCACACATACAACTTAACACAAAGTTGGTCATAATATACAAGGAAAGGGATTGAACCACAAAACGCAAGGCATAATATATAAAACTAATCTGCACATGAGGAAGGATATTTTACAACCACCAAAATTTTGATTTACATGGGATTTCGAGCACGATAGACAGTTCTGTGTAGAACAACTTACTTGAAACTGACTCATAACATCAAAAATAAAAGTTCTGGATAAGAAGTTAGGTCACTCTACTTGCATACACGTTTAATTCCTTTTGTATAAGTTCTGGAGGAGAAGTCAGCTCATTCGGCTTGCATCCACCTCTTTCGATTCCCTTGTTTGAAGTTCAAGTTCTACAATAAAGTAACATTTTTTATCCTCTCTGATGTAGCGGATGTGACCATTCATCCTATTGAGAAGTTTTAGGGACACATTTAGGCCAACACCTTCCTTTGTAGTCCACTGTTTTTCACCTTCAAACATCGCTCTAATGAGAGCAGAAGGAAGACCTTGTCCCGAGTGAGCAATTCTACAATAATGAAAAGGAAAAAGAAAATATTAATCAAAAGAGCTATCAGTCGAAGTGCTTTTGTTCTACCAGGTTCATAACAAGATTAAAGGCAAAACTTGTAATGAGAATGTCAACAGCTCATGAATTGATCTGTGCAGGTTTTGGTGTATAGAAAGAGAAGGATGCTAGTTTTACAGGCTTCAGAGGGAGTTTCGGTAGATGCATGGGTGCTTCAGTGAAGCTTCACTTAGTAAAGTTAATTTGTGAAACACTGTGCAGAGCGAAAGAAGCATGAGCTCATACTCCCTAAGATACATGAGCAAAAGATGGATGGAGGGAGAGCATCAGAACAGCCATTGTAAAGATTCTGAAGTCCAGAGCGTCTCAGAGTGCATATAAAATATATATTTTTCTTTCCGTAAGTTATACCTATCACTAACATTAACAAAATAGCTATACCATGATCAATAAATATCACAGATTTATTTATATTATTAGGTTTAAAGGTTTATTTCATTATCGGGATAAAGTCCACATTCAGAAGATGAACATATTAATAACCAAGGTACCTGAGCTGCAAATGGATAAACTCATTCCCATCATGTATCAGCTTCGAACCAGGTGAAACCCTGATATCTACCCAACCATCTGCAGGTGTATGATGCACTATATTAAGCAAGAAATCTGACAATAGCAGCTGAAGCTTCATCCGGTCACCAAGTAGAGAAAGTTTTCTAATTTCTTCGGGGATCTCATGAAATAGTTGTAGATTTCTTTCCTTCAACAATATCATTACTTGACTAACAATGGCATCTATTACATTCCCGAGGACAAACTCCTCCATTTTCAGATCCACCTTTCTGCTAGAACCAAAAATAGAGTAACACATGCACTAATTTTAAATCGCTGCAATTACTATTAAAAACTTTTCTCTTGATGATTATTATGTAAATTGCATGAAATGAAAGGGATTATTATGCGCAGAAAACAAACGCAAAAGGTAATCCCAAGAGCCAGTCTTTTTCTAAAGATAAAATATGGTTTCCAAAAACACATGAACAATCCTTTGAAATGAATGAGAAATCAATACAATAGGAAGATGACAAAATTGAAAATTGATGGATTATGCCTCAAAAACTAATCCAAAATTCCAGAATAGATGGGAATTTTGTCCAATTTAATGCCAAAAAAAAAGTGCACACTGTTCTGGGAAGTTTCAGTTTGTTCTATTTAATGCAAACAAATTCATATGATGCAATAGGAAATCGCGGGAAAAGACAATGTTAAAGAGAAAGTAGACATGAAAGGAAAAAATAAACTTACCCCTCCTCTATCCTTCCTAGATCCAAATCCTCAAGGATTGAAATTATCTGTCTTTCACAGGCATCACTAGTCTCAAGAAATTGCTTCTGATGTTCTGAAATAGCTGTACTTTCAAGGAGTTTGTGGATGAACCGAATACCATTAAGTGGATTTTTCATCTCTTGTCGAATATAAGCCAACTCTTTATGTTTCAAAAGGAACTCTCTGTCCTCTTGTCTGTTTCCAAAGGCATCCTGCAGGTCAGGCACCACAGGCTTCAAGAAGCAGAAACACCCAATTACGTTGCCACTTTCATCAGTTCTCTTATTCGCAATCAGCATTACTTCCACTAATTTTCCATTCCTATTGAAAAACCCAAATGGGAACTTGTCGGTATCATGACCACTAATCCCTCGATAGAGAAGAATGGTGAATTGAGTGAGTGCCTCTTGACTTTTCAGCCGACAGATACCTCCAAAAATTTCCGAAGGAAGCATTTTCCCAACAGTATCCTGTCTCATCCAACCAGTTAGCTTTTCCATGGCGGCATTCCATTCAGAACAGCGGCCATTCTCGTCTGAAGCAAAAATTGGAGGAATTAGTGGGCTAAGATTTTGTATGATAGCTTTATAATCCCCTTGCAAACGAGTAAATTTATCCATTACAACGTTTTCAGACGTGATGTCTTCACCCACAAAGCACACCCCAACAATGTTGTTCGTGTAGTCCCTACTTGTGCAGGCATTGGCCACAATGTGTACAACTGAGCTCTGCTGCTCCAAGCCAGACTTCCGCATTTTTATTTTAACATTTTTGTCTTCTTGACCTGTGGATTGAATATAACTAAATTAAAAACTACATTTTCAGAGAAAATATAAAAGGAAAACGGAAGTTTGAGTTCTCTCCATAATTCATTGAATGTTATTAAAGGATGACACCAGATCATGGAGTAAATGTGTCGTTTCCTTAAACCATTCAAAGAGAGAGTCATTGGTACATCTAATATTTTGCAGTATCTGTTGTGAACTTATTCCATGACCATTGGTAAAATAAGGTTTCACAGTTTCACTACTTCTGAAAAACTTGTACAAAGTTAACCATAAAAGAGGACGAATGAATTAGATGGTGTTCTAAGTGGTAATGACAAATGAGAATCTTGATCATTTATGTAGTCGCTGGGTTGGATAAGCTCAGACAACTCTGCTAGAAATTGAATATAAAATATTTTATGAGCATGAAAATAGAGATTAATTTACCTAGCAAAGCTCTGAAAATAAGGTTTTCAACAACACCACGCGAGTCCTCATGAATGACTTCATTCACCAGGGACTTCCCCATTGCTTTGCTAGCTTGTAATCCCGTCAATTCAGCAATTTTTGAGTTCCATCCATCGATGGAACCAGATGAATCAACCCCAAAAATAGGAACTGCTGCTGTCTCAATTAATCTGACCATTTCACCTGTAACGGAACAAAGTTCATCCATCCACTGCACCTCAGGATCATTCGGTTGAGCATCTGTTATTGCCTTTGAACCTTTGCCTTTAATCGTTTGAAACGAATCTCTAATTATTAGCTGCAAAGAGTGAATGGCATTAATTTCCAAAACCTCCCAAGGCAAACTTCTGCTTTTAGCCAACTCAAGAAAAGCATGGAATGAAGTTCTCGGGTGCATTCTTGCTCCGTCATCTTTATCCTCTGGATGATGCCTAGCTCCTCCCCATTTGACTTCCTTTGCTGTGTGAGACCTGAACCAAAATAAGAAATCTTTGGGAGTAATTCGTGCCATAGCCATGCCACAAACAGCATCACCCAGTAAATCTGCACCGGGGTAACCTGCATTGGTCAGACTGTCAGTGCTTAGTCCTGTTGAGTCCCCGTGATGATTCCACAGCCACTCTGCCATATCTTTTATCCGTGATTCAGTTGGAGTTACACCGAGCAGCCAACATTTCTCCCTATAATACAATGCAGCCCCATCACATTTGACAAGATCCATGATAGTAGGATCATGTGTGACAACCCCAAGAGGGCCATCCCGCAGAAGCAGGTCGCATAATAAGGCTTGTGTCTGAAGAGTCTTTTTCTCTGCTCTCTGTGATGCCAGTTGAAGCTCCATGTTGAGCTGCAAACTAAATGCCTGCATGAAAAATTCACAAGCATAGCGAAGCGGGAATGGAACATAACGTGGAGAGGTGTGGTGGCACACTACCAAACCCCATAGCTGCATCAAGTTGTTGCGATTGATAACAACTGCCATGACCAATGAGGCAATAGAGCCCATGTTAGACATGTACTGCATATGGCATTCGTGGGGGGAACGAAGGGTTGAATTGACCAACACAAGAGGCTGACTTAATTCTTCACTTTGAAGGACCCTAACCGGATTGGCATTGCAATCAAAGATCATCCTGACGCGACTCTGCTTGAACGTGAAACGAGCGGCTTGGGGGATGTCTGTTGCTGGATAATGCAATCCCAGGTAGGGTTCTAAATCAGACCTTCTAATTTCAGACACAACTTCACCATGCTGATCATCTTCGTGAAACTTATAAAGCATAACCCTGTCATACCCAGTAAGCCTCTGAACTGCATGCACCACAGTATCACACAGAACACCAGTATCTCCCCCGGGAAGTGATTGCATACTAGAAATGGCCTGAACGGCCAGTTTATGTGACTGAACTGCACCGGCCAGTGAAAATTCAGGATCACCCGACAAGGCCGGTTCCAAATCAATCACAATTCCCACATCAATTCGGTGGAGTATTGCATAAAATGGCTTCTGGGCACTCCTAGTATGGACCCAAATGGGATTGAACAGCGAAAGTTGTTCCTCTGACGCAACAGCATTGGCCAATGAATTCCCCGAAGAAGGGGTAAAAAGGGTTTTAGCAACTACTCCTATCAGACTAGACTCAGTGTTCAAACCCAGCAAATCAAAGCAATTTTCACTATAACCTATGATTTTGAGACTGGGTTCTTCAATAACAATCAAACAACCAAAGGGTTGGACAAGACCAGCCCTCTGAATTTTAGACAGATAAGCAACAACTTCCTCATCTGGGACATTTTCAGGAGCATTTACAACTGACCTTGAGTAGTTAAAGGACTTACCTGACCCATCAGACTCTTCAAATTCAGCCAAAAGCCTAGCATCAGCATTGCACAGAGCTATGGCTTTGTTCTTCTGGTTGTCGTCGTTCTTGGGGTTCATGATTCTTGCAGTTGGTGATAAACACAAAGGCGGTAGTGATGTTGATGTTGGTGGGTTCCTCTCTTTCTGTTTCTTTCTTTTTGCTTATGGTTTTCTCGTAAACTCGATTCACTACTATGATATGTATATATATATATAGAGCTGTGGGTGTGTTTTTTCTGTATTGCACCGAACGGACATATGTATGTTTATGGTCTGGAAAGAACTATTATTAGTCCTACAATTTAATTTTTTATTATTATTTTTTTAATAATAAAACAAAGAAACTAACTTTTCTTTTCTTTTTCAATTATGGAATTTTGTTGGTAAGTTACTTATAAATAGAATACTACTCTTAATCATCCATTCTTAATCGAACTCTTCATAATACAATTTGACCACGCGTCTAATAAGTGTCATGCAATTTGCCACGCGTCTAATAAGTGTCATGCAATCACCCTGACTTCAGTTTACAATCTATACAGACGCTAATGGCGGTGCGGTTGGAGGCATTCAAGAAATAAACCATTTTCACCGGCAATTTGGGTTGGAGATGACAAGAACGGTGAGGAATATACCATATACAATTTTCATTATTGCTTGACGCAGTTCAGTTGGTGTAGTTAGAGTTCAGTCGGTATAATTAGAGGAGTTCAAGATAAGATCGGTGAGAAATACACAATTTTATTTTAACTGCTGTTTCGTGATGCAATTCAGGTAATGATTTTCCATTTTTTAAATAGCCTCCGCTTTTACTTCGCAATGCTGATCTTCAATATTAAAGTAATACCTCTTTGTAATGGAGCTGTTGTAGCTGGGTTTGCCGCAGAGCTTGTTTGTTTGGGCCTAATTTTCCATTGGGTTTTGTTTTTAATTTTTAATATTGAAATATATTTGGGGTATAAAGGTAAAATCACTCAAAAATTAACCTGATAGATAATATATAATAGCTGTGGCTGTGTTTTTTCTCTATTGCACCTACCGACATAATGTATGTTTATGGTCCTGAAAGAACCATTATTAGTTCTACAATTTAATTTAATTTACTATAATTATTTTTGTAATAATAAAACAAAGAAACTAACTTTTCTTTTCTTTTTCAATTAATGGAATTTTGCAGGTAAGTTACGTATAAATAGAATGATAGTAGTACTTTCAATCATCTACTTTTGATGCAAAGATTCATAGTGCAATCTAATCACAAATCTGGCCACGCGTCTAATAAGTGTTGTGTAATTTGTCACGTATCAAATAAGTGTCATGCAAGCTCCATGGCTTAAGTTTACAATCTATAGAGACGGTAAGGGAGGCATTCAAGATAGGTGCTGGAGGCATTCAAGATAAAAACGGGAGAAATAAACAATGTTCACCTGCGTTAAGCCTGCGTTCAAGATAACAGGAAATAAACAATTTTCAATAGTTGAGTTCAAGATAAGAATGGGAGAAATAAATAATATACAGCTCCGTTAGGCAGCGTTAAAGATAAGAACAACAAATAAACAATTCAGGTGCCGGGGATTTTCCTCATACATTGATTTTCCATTTTTTAAAATGGCCTCCGCTTTCACAATGCTGATCTTCAATATTAGAGTAAAGTTTCTGGGTTTCCGTAGGAGCTTGTTTAAATATGGTTTGAAAATTTAATTCCATTAACGATTCGAATCTCATAATTCATAACAAATCAATTATGAATTATTGTAAATTCAATCCGATTATAATCCGGTCTGACCAAATATTATGATATATTATATATATTATTTAACCTTCAATAGGTGTGCATTTCTTGAAATATTTAATAAAATATATCGCTTACATAATAATTTATCATGTCTAGAATTGAAAATTTTAGTTAATTTAAATTTTCTTCATTTTTTAAAAATTATTTTCTTCCCTATATTGGTTTTAACCCTTTATTTATTTTTTCTTTATATCAAATGTTTCGTCTTTATTCTTTCACACACATATATATATATATATATATATATTCATTTATCATCTCTCTCTCAATTTTCCTAATTTATATATTTTATTTTTTTCCAAAAATTACAAATGTTAACAAATTGGATTATGGAATTGGATATTTGATAAATTGAAAATTGGATATTTATTGAGTATAAAATAATCCATGGAATTATGGATCGAAACCGGATTCCATTTGAATATGATATGTTGATAGGCGTAACAACATTAGACATAAAAATTCTTGAAAAAAAATTGAACCACCAATTTTGTCAATAAAATAAACACCATAAATTCCACTAGTGTATCAGTAACTTTTTATGATGAGCAGTAAATTTTCAATTAAACAACATTTACATCTATCATTGACTTATTTTCCTGTTAAGATTTAAATTTTCTTTTCTATATAGGACTTGGGCCTAACTCCAATTGCTTCTATTGGGTTGAAAAAGTAGGCTCCCCGAGTTTAGATATGGGCTCCAACTTTCAATATTGGCCTCCTAAGTAAAGACTACACCATGGTTAGGCCCGAACCGAGGTTAAACATTCTTCAACATGTCACATGTGCGTTGCCACTGCCCACTAAGCCCAAGTTACACACACATTTTTTTTTTTTTTTTTAGTACTCACACACACATATCTTTACAAAGGGTTCGAACTCCTTACTTCTCTTTGAAAAGTAGGAGCTTAGTATCGTTAGGCCACTGGTCTATTGACTTTTTTAATTATTTATTATTACATTTGAAAAGTAAGAGTCTGATATTGCTAGGCTATTAATCTATTAATTTATTATTATTTTTTATTTTTTATTATTATTTTTATGGGCAAGAAACGCACATCTCACTTATACATCCATTTGCCCTTTTAGAATCTCGAACCTTCACCCTAATAACTAATCATTCACTTATACATCCATTTGCCCTTTAGGAATCTCAAACCTTTACCCTAATAACTAATCATCTAACCCTCCAACTCAACTATAAATGAAAGAAGAGTACGTTTTTCTAACAGACCTTAGAATCACTTGTTAAAACAATAATCTCAACCATGGTTTTGTCAAAATGTCACAGTTTACCCTTCTGTTGGTGTTACATTTCATCAATATATATATATATATATATATATATATATATATATATTTGCCTCTTTAGTTTCGTAACTTTGGATCATATTAGGCTCTGTCCAAAATCAAGCCTTAATTATGGTCTAGTTGAAATTTATTTTAGGTCAAATCTAAGTAAAAGTATAAAAAAAAGATGTCTAAATCATGATTTGCAGTCGCGTTATCAATTTCAGTAATAGTAAGTATAATAAAATCTTATAATTTAAGACTCTTAAAAAACGTATTACAATATAAAACCCTTAAAAAAAAAAAAAAAAAAAAAAAAATTAATTAGGAGTCGAACGCATGGGACGATATGACGAATTATGGACCAAATGAATACGACTCTATTTTTTACCACTTTGAGTCGGCAAAAACAAATAAAAATAAAATAAAAACCTGTATTCTACAGACAAGTGGTGAGTGGTGACTGGGTAATTGGTTACGGGCCTGGAAACCTGCTTTCAAGGTCGTACAACACGATTGGGTTTTCTTTGAACTTGTTGGTTCTGAAGCATTACGCTCAACTATTGTGATTTACAGCTACTACAATTCGAATTGGAGCTGTTAATCTATGGCTGATATTTGTAGTAGTAATAGTAGTACTTTCAAAACCTGAGCTGTGAAGACTGGCATATTATCACTAAACGAGCTAGGGTTTAGAAAATTCAATTTCAAGGAGCTCTGATACTGATAGTGATACCAAAGTGAAGACCAATCACACTAATGGATCAGCAAGTCGTCGCCGATACAGATTCGCTGGATCAGAGACCCGGAATCCTCATCATCGGATCCTCTAACGTCGGTAAACGGACTCTTCTCTCCCGTAAGTCTCTCTCTCCACACACACACACATACACATATATATGTATGTATGTGTTGGGTCGCATCAGAATTAGATGACTGAAGTTTAATATAGATCATATTTGATGTCTCATGATTAATAGTAAAATTGATCTCTCTGGTTTTTTCCAAGTATAAGGGCATCAAATTGAACAATTTGACTTGTGTGAAATTTGCATTGTTTCGTTGATGTGGTGAGAAAAGGTTAGATTGATGTGTAAAGAGTTTTAGGTCTCACTATTGAAAAGTTTGGTGGCCATCTAACCTTTTGCAGATTTTGCACTAATATATGGCTAGCTTTGGTTCTAAATTGAGCTCTTAGCCTTCATGTGGACTTGGCAGAGGTGAAAGAGAGTGATTATTTTTTCTTATTGTGGGAGCACTTTTATAAAATCCGTTCTTTTCCTGCCAGAACATGTAGCTCCAGCTAAAAGATTGAATTAATTTTGATACCACAAAATTTGGAGTTTTTCAAGCATGAAACAAGGATGGTCGAGTCTAAGAACTATAATAAAAAATTTCGTTACTTTTCCAATTTTTACCTATAAATTGATTAAATCTAGAAACTACTTTTCGAAGGACTAACATACTTCAAATAGCATTGGAAAACTTTTAGTAAAATGGGAAAGATTTAACCCTTGATTGGTATGCATATTTTCTGGTCAGTGCTAACTTGTTATTTATTTTATCTGAGTTAAAAGCTTTGTAGTAACTTTTTTTCTGGTCAATCGCCTTTTAGTTTAAACCAAGATATCGACTTATTTATTTGGTCATTGAATATCAAAAAGGAAAAAAAAAAGAAGTTATTTATTAACTCAATTCTGTCTGGGAACCATGAAAGAGAGCTTACAAAGCCCTCTAAAGTTGAGTTATTTATTAATTATTCATTTTTAACCTGTTGCTATCTACTCAATATACAAGCCCTCCAAAATCCTTTAAAAAAAAAAAGGTTCATATGCATTATACACAGTGCCGTTCAGAACAAGAGTTTGTCAAAATGGCTGGAACAGTCTTGAATCTGGAGCAAGAACAACTAAATACTTGTTCTGGAGTTCAAGACTATTATAACAATAAATTCAAAATGGTACATCAAGAACTCCAGTACCAGCACATTTTTTCCCCTAAGTTCTGCGAGTGGTTGAAGATTTGGATCCAGAACACAAGAAATCTTTAGAACAGTAAGCAGGAACATTAATTTATCCTTCTAGCGCGTAAAGTTAGATCCACAACTCTTAATGAAACATCCAATAAAATTGAATATAAAAACTATGGTTGAAGGAGCTCATGCAATGGTGGTGAAGTAGAGTATTATATTGATGTATGCCTTATGGATGTATCCACATGTAATAAGTAATAACAGAGATCATATACATTGCAATTATCCGAGTATTATGGCACGGAGAATGTCAAAGCTGATTTCTTGGCTAAAAGGGCGGCAACTTCTTTCATAATAACAGTTGAACAAGAATCCACATTAGCTTTTATATACACTTGTTAGACCTCTTCTTGGTGCCTTCTTAGTTGGTCTTTTTCTTTTTCACTTTTGCCATTTCAGTCCTCTTTCTGTCTTATTCTGTCTGTCTTATGTAGTTTTTCCCTCTTGATTATGTTATCATTCCCTTTTCAGAAAACCAAAAGTTATATTCTTTAAATAATATTAAATAAAGTAAAAGACGATAGAGACACAATTTTGGTCATTTAAGCTATTGTGGCTGCTGATAAAATAAACTTTAATGCAATGTTAATGTTTGTCACTGCATTCCCCTAATATTAGTACTTTTTGTTTTCCTTCAATTGATGCATTATGCATTAACTTTGGGGACATACATTGTGGATTAATGCAGTAGGACATAAGCTTTGTTGAAGGTTGATAGACCGTTCACCTTAACCATTTTAAGCTTTTTTTTTTTTTTTTTGGTAGGATTACTCTCTGTGGAATTTGAAGACTCTTCTGATTCATCATCGGATGTACTTGCCTATGGGTATGTTGATTAAGGTTTTTTTCTTAAAGAAACTAGATCTGTTACAATATTTGACCTAATCAATGGAATAATAATAATATGCATGTTTATTAAAAAAAAAAAAAAAAAAAATTCCCAAGTATGTACTTATGTTGTGTTGTGGTTTATTTATCAGGTGGACTATCAATACGAAGTATTACACTGCTGATGTTTCCATATGGATGGCTCATCTTCAGGAAGACTTTTCTATTATGGCCTTACCAGTAGTTGACCAGTTGGCTGCCTTGGTGATGGTTTTCGACATGAATGATGTTAGCCTTATCCTCATATTTCTTCTCTATAGTTTTATCATAATCATCATCCTTGCCTTAGACCCATTACATCATCAATATCCAACTGTTTACTAAATTTACAATCCACATATTCAGTTTTAGCCCTACTAACTTTTAAACCTTTTGATTCTAACACGTTTCTCTGCCTTTCTAATTTTCTTTGGACGTGTCTAATGACACTATTCCTACCATTGTCAAACAACATGCACCATAAAGTGTGTCACTGTAATTCTTTTGTTATCTCATCTAAAATTATTGCGATTAAATATGGACTTTGTGCAGACCATTGGTGCAATCTCACATGCATAGAAAAATTACTTGTCTCACCACATGTAGTCCGAACTCTAGTTTCAATATTTACAAACATATCCTAAATAATCTTCATCATTTATAGAAGAATTTAATTGTTTCTTTTAAAAATAAAAAATAAAAAATTTCTCACCAAATCATATATATCACCAAATCGGTATACCTTTTCTGAATCTATAAAGATCATATGTAAATCTTTTTGCTTCTACATTCTTCAACTAATTGCCTTATTAAGTAAATAGCCTATATTGTAGATCTCCTTGGCATAAATTCAAATTGGTTGCCTATTCCTTCCTTAGTCTTTGTTCTACCCTTTCCATGGTTTCATTGTATAACTCATTAATTTAATTCCATGATAATTGTTTCAATTTTGTTTATCCCCCTTGTTTTTGTAAATAGGTACTATTGTGCTTTTCTTCCATGCATTTGGTATCATTCCTTCTTTTAGAATCTTCTTGAATAAATTTATAAGAATTTCAGTGAACTGCAAAATTATTATCTTTGAATTAGCATGCTTTGTTTATGTCATCTTTTCTCTATGTTATTACCTGCAGCTATCTTCTCTTGTTGCAATTAAGGATTGCGTTTCTCGCACTGATATTCAGAAGTTTGACATATTGTTATGTATTGGGAACAAAGTGGACCTTCTTCCAGGACATGCAGCTCATGTTGAGTACAGAAGACGCCTGCAGCAACATGGAGAATCCCCTGTTGATTCTAATCAAGAATTTTATGATTTTGGAATTTATGAATCCGAAGGAAGTAGCTTATTAGGAGATGAAGAACCATCGTGGGAGATTAAGAAGTCATGTTTGGAATGGTGCAGTGAACACAACATTGAATACATTGAAGCTTGTGCATCTAATGCTGATTTTGACAGATGTAAGACCTATTGCCTAAAAAATTTTCAGTTACATTTTCGTGATTCATCTTGTCGGCTTTTTATTTTTGCAACCAAAAATGATATATGCACAACTGAGGGATATGAAGTAGCCTGCTTTGTTAGTTTGTCCATTCAAAGAATAAGAAACAGGAGAAAAAAATGCAGTACTTCAAACTGGACAAGTAATTTCCCTGAAGCATGTATAGGGATAGGATACATTAAATTATGATACACAGTCACTTTTCCTAGTAATCTATCAATGATCTAACATTCCAATTTATAATTATAGTTCATGTGAGGAAAAAGGAGTCATGTTGCATGTGCATGAACTCAGTGACAAATCTAGCATGCTTTATTATATTTCCCATACTTTCTTTACAAAAATCTGTCCAAGTGACCCTTGTTATTTTTATTTTATTTTATTTTATAGTAATACTCTCATTCCTTGTTAGCCACATCTCTTTGCCCGAGGCGTGTTTGTAGTTCTGTGTCCGAGCATATTTGAGTATGGGACTCTGTTTGAGATAAAAGAATCTTCAAATTATGGATGCTACTGTACATGTATCAGAGAACTTGAGTATTAGCATCCATTATGCATCTAGAGATTTGGCATCTTCATTGTACTAGTGCCACATAGAATTTGGCAAAACATGAGCACTAAGAGTTTAATACCAGAGTACGTGTATCTATACAAGCTGACATACATGTAAATTGCTGTATACTTGATCTAAGAGCTACCATGTTTAATAACCCAGTATCACATCAGATTGTTTTAGCTGTCTGTGTATGTTTACTTGCCCGGTGCCACATCATATTGTGTTAGCATGGGCTAACATATTTACAGCTAAGCAATAAATTTATGCCTTTGCAGTGTCATATTTCTTCTTAAATCATGTACTTTCTAGTTGTTTCGAAGTTCATGTTAGTTGAAATAGAAGTATGTTTTGTAGTATAGTCCCCCACAAGATTTAGTTATCGATCTGTGTATGTGCATATTCGTGGTTTAGTATTTAATGAGATAAAGAATTTATCTTGACAGGTTTATCAGTTGATGGCGATTCACAGGGTGTAGAACGACTCTATGGGGCTCTTTCTGCTCATATATGGCCTGGAATGATCTTGAAATCTGGCAATAAGATAACTGAACCATCATTACCTGAAAAGCAAGGTTTGATACATTACATTTGTTAATTTTGAAACGTAATTTTTCTTTAATCAAACTAACTGAATGTCTCATCCTCACTGCTCAGAGTTGTCAGATGAAGAATCAGACTATGAATTTGATTATGAAATATTATCTGCGGGTTCAGCAGAACCATGGGATGACACAGATGTAGGATGGGTATCTGCAAATGGCTCTACTTCGGCCGCAGGTGCAGGGGGATCAGTTGCTCAGACTATTGATGCTAAGGAATGTGATGGAGGGAAAGAAATTAGGTCAGTTGGAGGAGAGCTGCAGTCCTCAGCTTCAGTATCCCAGCTGCAAACACAGAGTGACAGTGAAATAGTGCCCAAAGTACATGAGCCTGACAAAGCCTCAGAGCCTGATGAGGATACGCATTATGACTTTGAGGATTTGGAACAGTTGATGTCAGAGATCGGGAACATGCGTGACAACTTGAGATTGATGCCTGATTTCCAAAGGAGGGAAATGGCAGCAAAGGTGGCTATGAAAATGGCTTCTATGTTTGGCGACAGCAGTGGTGATGAAGGGGGATTTGATTGATAAGAGGACATATTTGCTCTGTGTTTCTCCTTGTGCAGCTTAAGATTTTCGCAAGAGATACTTACGGTTACGACCCAGACTAGGAAAACCTACATAACTCTTTCAGGTCAGTGCAAATGTTTGAAATGTACTCTGCTATAGATGAGCAAGTATCTCGGATGAATTTGTAGCTATGAAATCTAATAGTCATCACTGTACTGGCGATTTGACTGACCATTTTGATGAAAAATATATGCTAAGTTGAACATGTTAAATCAAAGGTGGCTCAAGATTTTACATCTGCCACGGTTGAACCTAGGAAATGCCAGAAATTTTATGTTGTACCAATTGTTCACAAAGAAAGTCAAAAGTCAGGAATGTGTCCTTTCTATTATTCCGGATGTCCCTCATTGACAGGACCACTGGACCAACTGTTTACAAAAACATAGAATCAATGTATTCTTGCACTTGACCAATGACCATTATATGTTACCATTTTAGACGCCAATACATATATGTGTATTTGTTACGGTTCAATTTAATTTGTTTTGCGGCAATGGCTTAGGTGATTAAAGGGTGGGATGACCTACTAAGAAAAGGTAATGGGATGGGATGGACTTGGGTTCTGGTAGTTCTCTAGGTATTCCAAAGACTCAATCTTCCTACTTGAAACTGGTCTTTCTGTAGTGTTGCCCGTTGTCATCATTCTTACCTTTTAAACGAATATGGACAGTAATGAAGAGAAAGAAACAGGACGATTGTTTACATGTCTTATATATGCTGTGTTCGCGCTTGCTTTTACTTCAAACAGAATCATTCTGAAAACATGTGCTTATACATTGTTCAGAAAAAACATCTGCTTATACATTGTTCAGAAAAACATCTGCTTATACTTTGGTTTAGAACTAGAGTGGCCATCCTTTGAATGAGATAGATTGGCCAGTTTGTTCCGTTCGTGCCTTTAATCAATAGATAAATTTCAGGTGATGATCACAACGTAACTGTGTGTCGATCATGATGCCAACAGATTATGTGAAACACACAGCAAATTCTTGGTATCATTGGGCTTAAAATGATAGTTTGTCATTGAGAAGTGCTTTTAACTAACCGATTTTTTGGATTAGAAGGTCTCATGCGGGTCTCATTGTGAGACTCACTCGATTTAATGGATGAAATTTGGTAGTCGAAAGTTTTCGAAGTACTCTTTTTATATACGGAGTGTTACAATTGTTCACCTGAATTTGTAACTAGGCAGTTTAAGACGGTAGAATTTGGCTAAAAGAGAAAAATGATCGTTACTTCCGTCGTCACCTTTACTTGCTAAACAAGACTGTATGTTATGTGTTACTGTTGAAGACAATTTCCCAGAAACTGATATTCAAAAGGAAATGCTGCTAAAGTGGGCCCAATTAGATTCCAAGGTCAAAATTCAAAAAAGGGGTTCCACTTTTTACTTGTTAGGATCATTCCTTTGTATTTATCGAAGGATTCAAACCGCGTTTCCCCTCCAAATTTAGCTTGATCATCAAGAAATCTCAGCTTATATAAGAATGAGAAATGGGCTTCACAGACTCCATCAAGCAAGCTAATCAGTCTCCGAAATTTAATCGTATCCATCTCTGTGTCTCCAGTGTTTTGAAGAAAGATTTCTCGCCATATTCTTCTAGCCAAGATGAGCGGGCATAAGAAAGCCAGTTGGTACTCATCGGTCTTGAGCTCATTGGTCTCATTCTTCAATGTCTCAGGCGAAGGCGACAATGTGAAGTGTTCAAAAGCTGCATCGCGTTCTGGGCCAGAGGCGACCATGGTTGCTGCTGCAAAGCATTTCTCTTGTGCCCATAAAGTGCGGTTTGGTTAGATTTTCTGTCAAGTGGCTATAGCGAAAAGGATGGGAGAAAAGGAACGAATTTAGATCCTCTCCTGTAAGTGGAGATCGCTCTCGAGACAGAGTAGACAAACTCAACTATTTGTGAAGCGATCTCCACCATGCTTTTTCGTGCAGGAGAGGATCCGAATTCAAGAAGCGAGAGGGTGTGTATATGTAACACATACTACTCCTTATAATATAGTCAGTATGTACTGTTTGGTATAACTTTGCGGTTATTAAATAATCTTGCAACAACAAATGTAAATCAAGCGTTAAAGTTCGTATAGAGAACTTGCTCCGTGTGTGAGTGTGTGTGTGAGTCGATGCTTTGTTACTATGCTGGTATGAAAAGTCCAAATGTTATTGAGGAAGAAACTTCTAATTCTACAAATAGCACTTCACGCGGTATATTAGACGAACTCTTCCCTATATTCTGATTTTTGACTACATAAAAAGGGGGGAGAGAGAGAAATGCACTATACTTTCTTATAACATGACATAATTGTCTTTATATAATTCATGGGAATAAAAAGAAATTAAAATAAATAAAAATTGTGTATGTTATGTGTTACTGTTGAAGACAGTTTTCCAGAAACAAGCTATATATTCCAAGGGGTTCCGATTTCATAGACTTTCTATTTTTGATAGATTAGTGATACTCAAGTCGAAAATTTGTAGTAAATAATCTAATTGAATGGTTTTTGATTGATTATTTATGCTAAATATAAGTAAGTGGAGGACCTCACTCCCTTACTTATTGCATAAATTAAAAATAATAAGTCTAAAAATTCACTGCAACTATTTGGTACAAGAATTATTTTCCTTTTTGATAACAGCTTTAGCCGGAAACATGGTGTTTCATGAAGTAAAGTCAGAGACTTTTTGTTTGATTGTTATGAGTGAATTTTTTCACATCTTTACTTGCCTAAAAGTAATCTGTTGTCACATTTATTTTTTTATTTTTTATTATTATTATTATTTTTTTTTTTCTTTTGGGAAAGTAGAGCAAATTATATAAATATAATGAGAAATTATTAGATGGTCCTGGTCTATTGGACACTTGGTGGACTAATTCAATGAAAATCCTCCGATCATAAAATTTTATAATTTATTAATAAACTCTTGTGGGACCATTTTTTCAATTCGAGAGTCTGTCTTTAACTGGTCTACTAAGTATTAATGGACCAGAACTATCTAATAATTTGTCAGCCCTAAGAGTTAAAATGCTTTGACACCCTTTCAGGTTTACCTTTATTGTTCATAAATTAAATCCGAGTCAAAATTGCTCTGATACCCCTATCAAAATTAATTAATGACAATTTATTTTTTGACAAAAAAATAAATGTACTATTATACACTTCTCTTTATTTAAACTCCATGCATGCATCATTGCTGATGTGTAAAGGTCAAATAATAAATCTCATTTTTGCCCTTTATTTGATAACCTACACGATCTCACCAAAATAGTAGATCAATGATGATCTACTATAATAATTTATCTTAGCCAACCTTCCGAAAAAAGAAAATGAATCATCTGAGCCGATCAATGAGGTGGGAGGGGTATAGGCGGCGTCGGTGAAATTGATAAGTTGTACATTGAAATCCTTGCTTTGAGCAATGTTTTATAGGTTATGCATCCGGAAAATATGGGTTTGAGAACCTATACACACACCGATAATGTATTACTATATGTATAAGATATATTATATATAAGTTATAATGTTTAAGAGTTATATAAAATTTATGATTAATTTTAAATATATATTAATACATTGTATATAAAAAAAATGAATTTACATATAGGTTTATAAAATGAATTTACATATAGGTTTGGGAACCATTGACACCTTCGAAGAACTGAGTAAGCAGTTTGTGAGCCACTTCATTGCCAAGAATGTTGACGCTAAAATCGGCCCCTAAGATCCGATTCTAATTTGATAGGTTGCGGGAGTGCTAGAACCAACTATATGGTTCGAGTGTGAGTTGTCATCTTGCAGTCTCTTTGAGAAAATTGACTTTCAGATGATTACAGCAGAAAGAGAACAAGTATACTCCTTAATGAGTTCTAATTGCCTTAATTAAAAGGACTTTAAAATGAGTAATTTATAATAACAATTGAGAGAAAAGAAAGGGGCGAGAAATAGATATAGAAATAATAAAGAGACGAGAAAGATTTAGAGGGAGAGAGATAGAACGAGAATAAAAGAGATAAGGATAGAGAAAAATAGTAAGGATGCTATTTTGGGAAAGAGCTTGAGAAAGCAAACAAATAAATTAAAGATTCTGAGGGTGCTGGACCTCTATCTCAGCATGCCTCTTTGATTATTTATAAAATAATTCATAAAAACAAACTCCTATGCATAAGCATTCTAAATACATCAAACTCTTTCAAATCATTAATTACTAATTTCAAATAAAATCTAATCCTATTAATAACCTAACTAACTATAAGTTTAAAATAAACTAATCCTAAATATAAACATAAATATTTAACTTACATCAACTAAAAGATAAATACTAAAATTATAATCCCTATTTATTAAATAATTCAAATGCTTCAAATCTCCTTTGCCTCTGAATGTAACTTCTGTAACCTTTTCAACGTGTCAATTTATACCCAAATTGGTTGCCATGTCATTAATACAAAAATTACCAAAAAGGGTGTCAACAATGCCCCCAAATTTTAAATGTCTTATCGGCTGTCGGTCGCCCAAGCTGATAAGATATTTGAAATTTAAAGTACATTGGAAGGAAATTTTGAACAAAGGTTGTGCTAGTCACTTGGAATCAGATTGCAAATCAACGAGCTCCAAAGCTTTGTTTCTTCTGAATCACCTCTAAGATGATCTTTATTTCATATTAGCCAAATCTGCCGATTTAGGCTTCTTCCTAAATTTTCAGAAAGTTCGCTAATATTGCTAGCTTATAAACTTATGAAGGACTTGCCCCCCATGCATTTTCTAACTCCATTAGCAAATCATGATCAAGATCGGCAGGGATTAAATTGTTGTGAAGTGTCATTCTAACCGATCTGCCTATTATCTGTATGACATTATGCCACGATGAAGTTTTCGTAGTTGATTTCCTTTCTGTCGATTTTGCATTTAGCTCCATCGGTAGGACTATATCATGCCCAAAAGTCCATTTATCGGCAAGCATGACCTCACTATAATCGGCAAGAGTCAAGATATGTCGTAGAATAACCTATGCTGATTTTACTTTCGGCTCAATCGGCAGGACTGTATCATGCCATAAAGTCCATTGATCGGCAAACATGACCTCACTATAATCGGTATGCTGAAATGGAGCGTATGGATCAACTAACTTTTGTTTAGGGTTTGCAATCACATACTCCCCGGCAGCCGCTGGTTTTTTAGCCAATTTTGCCTCAGCCGATTTTCTCAACCGAACTCTAAGTACCCTTTTGAAATTAACATCAGCTAGTCTTTTTCTTCTTTTCTTAAAGTTGGGCTGAGGACAACAAGCTAAAACAATTCTTTTAGCTGATAATTATTTTTGCCGATTAT